CCATACCCAATAATATTGAAATTTTAAATTTAACAAATTGGATTCTTTATTTGACAAATATTAATAAATAAACTGTGTGAATTACAATATAACCTTCCGTTCCTGGTTTTGCGTGACAACGTCGCGCAGCTACCTTATATTAGGGTTTTCTGCTTATATGTATATTATCTTTAATCCTATTTAGGTGGTGCTTCTCACTACTTGTCGGAATAAAGACGGCATTTTATATTAAAATCGGTGATAACTAAAAATCTCTTGAATTATTCACGCGGGCCAATCTGGTCACACACCTTATGATTTTTAGACCAGTTTAATCACAGTTCATCATATATTCCCTTATCTTAAGTCGCTTGTTTTATGCGACAACAATACATCAGCCCTATTACACTACAAACTCTACGCCTCACAAATAATAAACTTCGCCCTAAATGACAAATAACTTAGCCTTACGTTATAAATAATTATTCCAATACGACAAGCAAACAAACTACAATCCGTGATAAAAAATAATATCAATTTAGGAAAGTTGCTAAGCAATTTACAGTAGTTGCATATTTACTAAACAAACTTTCATGACTAATTTTGAAGATCTACGAATATTGAATACATAATGTGTTCAATATTACAATCACTTTCATTATAGTTCGATTATTATTCTTACCTAAAATGAGTTCATCAATATCCGAAGAGCAACTAATTGAAAGTCATGACCAAATTGAGATTTTGATTAACGGCGAAAAGAGTATTGATTCCAATAAAGGAAACGCAATCAGTCAATATGTTATCTCACCAAATGGTCAATACATTGCGACTTGGAGTTATGAAAATCAAACAATTTTTGGATGGAACATCACAAAAGAACTCTTAATTGAGTTTGACAATTCAATAACCATCACTAAACTCAAATTTTTAAACACTGATATACAGTATTATAATGCATTAATGGGAGTCTCGGATTGTAAAAAAGTCATACTAAAATTAAAATATAGAAAAGACCCTTACGATTTTGGTTTGTTAAATTAATTAAAATACTTGGTCTAATATTACTGTTTTCTCATATTTATATTACTTTATTTTAACAGAAATGATTGACATCCCAACCAAATCAAGACGCGCATTAAATGCCCAAGGTATGAAGGGAGAAACGTCCAATATTACTTTTCTTGAAAATGGAGATCTTGTAGTTATCAAAGGAGTTCCAGTTTGTCGTGCCTATATCTTTTCAAAATCTAATGTCAAACATCAATGGACATGCAAAAATTGCATTGAACTTGGAAATTATTTTAAAGCATCTATTTTTTCAAATGGAATGTTCTTGATACTTTTCGAAATACCTTTTGTAATCATGCAATGGAATTTAATTACTTTAGAGTTTGAGAGACAGTATATACTAAATTGGGATTTATATGGACTTAGGAATTTATTGGAAATGAAACTGAACGATTCCAACACATTGTTAGCAGTAGCAGGCTTTCTAGATAACGGAAGAAACGTGGTCTACGTTTATTCAACAAAAACTGGTATAATGATGGCAAAAAGTAAGTGTTTCATACATAAATTTATTAGAAATATAAATATATAATGAGATAATTTTAATTAAAAATTTAGAGACATTCAAAGAGAATCTTCATAATTTTTGTTTTATTGGATCAAGAGAAGAAGAACGTTTGTTTTTGTCTGGCCCACAATTTAATACTGAGAATTATGATTATAATTCTTATATCCTGAATCCCCAAACTTACATGTTCGATAAGCTCCAAGATACTGTCTTACATGAAATTTATTCTCCCACATATCATAATTATCGATCAATTGGCCCCATTAATATTATCTCCGACTATATTATAAATATTAACAATAATTCTTTGTCAATTCAAAGATTATCTCAAAATGGAAATTGGAAAAATTATTTATACTGCAAAGAGCCTTGTATAGGTGATACATTTTTCAATGTAAAGGAAATTAAACAATTTATACAAACTATTTTAGAAAATTTAAAAAAATTAGAGGAGATAGAAAAGTTTCAAGAGTTAGAAGAATCAGAACAGTTAAAAAAGTTAGAAGAGTTAGAAAAGTTAAAAAATTTCGAAGAGTTAGAAAAGTTAAAACAATTAGAAGAATTAGAAAAGTCAATGGAACCTAAAGAAATCACACAATGTCAAGTAAGGTCATATACCTGGATTTTTACAAAAACTACAATATATAATACAGATATAACTGACTTAAAGGTTCGTTTCGAGTCTGATAAGGAAGAAACTACCAGCCGTGATTTCGAATCACGTAATAAATTAGTATATAAGGCACTTGAAAATGGAGATATGATATTTGTTTCCTCTTCTGGTATTCGAATCTGGACAGTAAATTCTGAAAAAAAATCAATTAATTTAATTTATTATTGGAGCAATAGAGATAAACCAGAAACGGACAAAGAATCAATATCAATGATTAAGTATCTTACTTCTTTTACTAATCAGTTGAAATTGGACTTTTTACCGCCACCAACTTTTGACGATGAGATAAATGACGATGATCTAGACTATTTAATAAATAACAAATCAGCAATAAAATTATATGGAAAAGATATAATTAATGGATTAATTTTTAGAAATCAAGAAGGAAAAATTATACAATTACTTGATAATTGTTATAAACATAGTTTGTCAATGCTTCAGAGTGACATTTGTGGCTCTATGATATTTTTAGAACAAATTACTTCTACGCTCATAAAATTAGAACAATATAACGTAAATCTAAGAGTAACAGAAGATTTTTTATCTAAAACTAATTTACTCATTTCTAGCGATGATAAGATGACTATAAATAATGCCTCTCAATTATCTCATCTTCAATATTGCGGATCTTATGTTCATTTATTTAATACTACAATTTTCAATTACATACTTTTTTGGGTCTTTGAAAGATGTAACTTCTTAAAAAAGAAGTATCCCCGAGTTTATAAAGGTTTAAGATTTCCTTATTTAATTTATTCATCCTATTTTACTAATTATACCCGCAAAACTGTAAAATTAATGATTCCTTTAATGAAATTTGCAACATATCCTGAAGATTATTCTTATTTTGAATTGTTTTATTCACAAGATAATTCATTTACTTTACTTGATTCATCCGATTATTTTAAATGGTGGAATATTAAAGCTCTTATTAACTTCAAGTGGAATACTTATGGAAGACGTTACTATTGTATAATTTGGGCAATATATACAATTTTTATGGGCTGTTTTTTAATAGTCTCAACAATCCCGGAACACACTATTTCTTGGAATAATCAAGAAATTCTTTTAATAGCAACTATTGTTTTTGGATTTGGTCATTTTATTTATGAAATTCGTCAATGTATTCATAATCCAATATCATATATTGCTAGTCCTTGGAATTGGTTTGGTATATTTAAACATATAATTTGAATAAAATGTTAAATATAATTATTAAAATTTTTTATTTTATAATTTTATCATATTATAGATCTTGCGGCCATATTATCTCCAACAATAACTTCATTTATATGGTTACATGATAAAAAACCACACATTTGGATTGTAACTATTTCTGCTTTTTTACTTGAGATTAAATTTTTATTATTTTTTCGTGTTCTAGAAAATTTTGGAACATATTTTGCAATTATGATTGGAGTAGCAAAACAAATATTTTCTTTTCTTGTTGTCTTAGGTGTTATAGTTTTGGCGTTTGCTCATTCTTTGCATCTTTTATTAAGACCTACTAGTAAATATTCATTCGATCAACCAAGTTATACTGATGATATTAATAATCCTTGGAATCTTGTTCCAACATATAAATATATATCATCTAATGGCACTGTGAAAGAAACACTTATTGAAACTCCTGATGAAAGCACAAATTTGTTTACAATGTTTAGTACATCCATACTAGCAGTTTACTTTATGTTAACAGGTATTATATAATAATAAATTTAAACAAATTATATATTTAAAAAATTAATTTTAATTCAATTTTAGGCGATTCAAGTGCAGTTTCTGCATGGGGCTTAGCAAATAATTGGACTTTATCAATTTTATTATCTATATTTTCATTTTTTACAACGATTTATTTATTGAATTTGTTTATTTCATTACTCGGAAATGCTATTGATACTACATATAATGAGGAATCTTTTTTACATCTAAGAGGAGAGGTAAAAATTTTATTTATATATTGAAGTTTATAGCGTTAATAAATATAATAACATTCTAGTATTACTAGATATTGGCTGAAATTGAACTTTTTTGGATGCTTCCTCATCAAAGAAGAAAGAAAAACTGGTTTCCAGATATTTTGTAATTATTTTATTTATTTATTTATTCTGTAAATCTACGCATTTATCCAGCATTTTTTATTTGCCGGATTTTGCAGTTTTTTAACATTTGACATGCACTGAACTTGAAATATAGTCTGATCAATTTGAGAACTTGCGCATAAAGTTCAAAATTTCGAATGCCAAATATTAGAACACTATGGTATTGACATTTGCGCATGTAATCTGACTGATCGAATTATATTTTGCAAATACATAAGTTATTTGGCTTTCGTATCTTGTAACTGCTAAATATATGCTAATATCATTAAATATTTAGATATTATGAAGCTTCAATACGCGAACTTAAAAAATATGTAAAGAGGATTGACGAAGAAAATGAGGATATTGCACAAAATTTACTTCCCGCAATCAGAAAAATTATTGAAACTAAATATTCAACCGAATACTTTACTAAAGACTCAACTGAAGAATATATTAAAGCCTCTGATGATTCACAAAATAATATACTTAAAATTCAAATAGATGAAGCACTAAAAGATATAATAAAAGCTCAAATTGATGAAGCATTAAAAGATCCAATAGATAAATTTAACAAATTAATTGAATTTATTGATAAAAAGAATCAGGATAATATTTCTTCTGCCTAATAATCGATTTGTAAAGATATTATTTTGTTATTTTAAGCTTAGTATTTATGTTTCTTAGTGTGTGATATTAAAGAAATTTATGCAGAAATTAAGCATTAAAATTGTTTGCGTTCAGTCCAAAAGAACATTAAACCCAAATAACAGATTGTACATGGAAATATTTCAGGCCTACCGAAAAAATTATTGCGGGGGCAATTAATTGCAATTTTTCGAACACAATTAATTGATTGGTGGCGCAGCCACAATTGATCAATTAATTGCAATTTTTACGTAATTAGCCTACAATATATTCGCCGACAAAATTTATTAATTTAATACGTCAAACTTGAGCAATGTAATATATTTGAGTTAAATAAATTATTGATTAAATTTCATAATATATAAAATTGTATAGACATCAAAGTAGTGTGCTTATTTTTTCATTCTTACGATGGCATTAACGAGTACAAAAGTTTCAAATAAGTTTTATATTGAGGCCTTTTTTAAACCTATAAATGATAGTAAACACCAATGTAATTTGTGTCCTCCTGGCTCACAATCAATATCTCAAAAAAAAGGAAGTAGCTATATGAATTTAATGAATCATTTAAGTATGAAACATGAAAGTTTTAAGTTGATATATTAACAACATATTGAATCTAGCTCTACAGCAAATGCTGATATTTTTAATTATAGCACAAGTTTGCATAATATTTTCAATTGGATAAGTCTAATTATAAAGTGTCAATTACCTTTCAACGGTTATGAAAATCCAGATTTTGCTGCACATACAAGTCTTTCAAAATTGGATGTTGTTACGGTTAGCAAATATTTTAACAGCTTGGTGGATATCATACAAGAAAGAATAAAAAATATCTTACCAAAAAAGATTGGAATTATGTTTGATGGGTAGACAAATAATGGGATTCACATTGTTGGATTATTTGGCATTTATCAAATGGTTCACAAACACAGAAATTTAGTTTTACTTGCATTTTCTCCATTTGAAGACTGTAGTACTCAAAGTACAGATGCACATATTAAGTTTTTTGAAGACATTCTAGAATCATATGATAAAAGTGTTAAAGACATCTTGTTTCTTTCAGGAGATAATTGTAGCATTAACAAGAAAATTGCCAATAATTGGAATCTTCTGCTTATAGGATGTGCATCGCATTATCTAAATTTAGTCATTAATGATCTTATTAATTCGTCATCTGCTCTTGTAAGTCAAATTCGTGCAATTGTGATAATGATGCAAACTTACAAGAATCGCAGGAAACTTGTAAAGGTGACATCTTTAAATCTTATATTAGATAATGCAACTAGATGGATGAGTGTACTAATGGATTTTCAGGTTAATTTAACTATTTTATTTTTAGTTTTTTTTTAATTTTTTTTTAATTTTTTTTTTAATTTTTTTTTTTAATTTTAATTTTTTAATTTTTAATTTTTTATTTCTTAGGTCGAGATATTTCATTAGTAGAGCAATTAGATCTCAAAGAAGTTAATGATTTTATTAATAAACTTAAATCCTTTGCAGAAGTAACTAATGATCTACAGAACAAGTCAATGAATTTAGACGATGTTCGTGCATATTTTGATTTGTTACTTGAAGAATTTCCAGATTTGGATAATCGATTAGGAAAAAATGCTCCAATTATTCATAATGTTATTTTCAAATAGGCTGTGATCAAAGTGTTATGCAAACAAGAAGCCATATTAACATTTACTGAGAAACAAAAACTTCAGGCATTTATTATTTAACACGATATACAATCAACAGCAGAAGAACCTACATGTATAACCATGAAAGAATGAGTTTTAAAAAAACGCAAGCTAGAAGAGTCTAAATTTATAGATATGAAAATTGTACCTCCTACATCAAATGCAGTAGAGCATTTGTTCTCA